TCCCAGGCTTCTCTTCGCATGGGGGATCCATGCTTTGGGGCTGCTTTCTCTCTGAGATTAGACGCAGGGAGTTCTGGTCTTAAATTCTTTCTGTTTCACTCCTGAAAGGATTCCAGTGGAGAGAATTGTGAGCCCATTGCTGCAGCATACGGTGTCCAAGGATTGCCAAGAGCTGTGATTGGGCCAATGGGCCGGGAGCCAGTTTATGCGAGCAGTGGCTATGACTGGCAGCCACCATTAGGGTTAGCGTTAGCATCGGTGTGTGGGAGGGGCAGGGTAGTTCTCTAAAATAAATTGAGTCCCTCGTCAGAAGAAGAGGAGAGACAAGCCCCAGTGATATCCTTACTACAGTGACATCATTGCATTTTTCTACTCTTTCGAAGACTCAGAAACTGGATATTGTGTTTGTGGGGAAGGGAGGACTAAAGCAAATCAAAATCGTACTATATTTGTGATGCCCCAAATTAATCAACCTGTACAGTCCTTTGCCTGATAACAATCATCTCTAATATATTATCGGTAAAATTAACCATAATTATTGATTAGTGAATGGTTGTTCCATTATTTTGAACTTGCATTAGCTGAAATGCTGCTCTATTATTTGGTCCCTAAATTGATCTGTGGAATTATATGGATATTAGGTCTTATTTCCTTACTCGTTTATTTTTTTTCCCTAAGTATTGCTTTACTTTTGGTTTGAGTTGGAGAATGTCGAAAAGGCTTCTCAAATATTAAATTATCAGCAGGCCATACAAAACTGTGCTCTGGCTTTGGACAAGAGCATTTTAAGTGTGTGGGGTTTTGTTTTGTTTTGTTTTGTTTTTAAGTTCTTTGAAACTACTTTGAAAAAAAAAAACTTACTTCATACTGCCTTACTTAATATGGAGAAGAAGGCTAATCATAGTATAAATTACACTCTACCAAGCCTTACTTTCTGTTATACCTTGTTGGATGAGTTAGTCACCAAGATAAAAGGGAATTTGCTTGTGTGTCTGAGTATCAGTCATCATGGTTTTATGTACATGTTTTCTCTTTACCTTGGAGAGAAATATTTTTACTCTTTTATAAAACTAGAGAATTATTTCTGGTTTCAAACATAATAAGTACCCATGATGAAACATTCATCTTGTTTTAAAGTTTCTTTTTAAAGCAAAACAAGCCATTGTTAACCACTGTAGGAGAAGTTTAGACAGTCATTTTTTAGGACGATGTAAAGGGAAACTTTTAAGGCATTTTATCTTCTGTATTAGTTGAATAGTTGAAGCAAAACTAGGGCTTAGCACAATTTCCAGCAAGAACTGCTCATTGTATGTATTCCTAACAACAAACATAAACAAATTAATTATTTAGCTTTCTGAACCATCTCTAAAAAGCCACAGTTGGGGCCTGGTTTTCCATCTGTTCTGTAAGTGTGGGGTGAATAGGCTACTGGGGGTGCTCCAACTCTAGAAGGGGAAGCCTTGAGTGCAGCCCGCAGAAGATGGTCAAAGACATAAGTTGGTCAAAGCACTGGAATCACGCAAAGGTCAGAGGTCCTTGCAGGGCAGTGAGCCAAAACCTAAAGGGCTGAAGTAGGCAGGGACCAATACTGGGCCAGTTTGCCTCAGACCAGAAGCCACTTAAATCCTTCCTGCTATAATAGTTGGCCTCTGTCATTCTGTGGCCTCAGAAGCTTTTCCAGTGTGGTGTTTTGTAGACCTGAGGGAGTGTGGCAATTAACTGACAGCCTGATGGGAAGGTAGGGCAGGGAACTCTTTGAGGCTAATGGCTTGGCAGCCAAGACAAACGGACTAGGCCTGCAGCTACAGAGGGGGTCCACTGGGGCTGAGGCAACAGGCGAGGTAGCTCTGGGGAAGCAGGTAGTTTACGTCAATGACAAAGACACAGAAGTACCACTTATATTCCAGATTGCCGAAGAGGGAGCGCAGGTAAATGCTTAAAGACTAGGGTGTATTGAGAACGCATCTACTTTTCCCAAATAAATAAATAAACCTCACTAAGGGACAGAGAACAGATCTGGCAGTACTGTGAGCTGTATCTGCGTTCTCGGTGAGTCCCAGTTACTGGTAAAATAAGAATAAGGGACTGATTAAACCTTCCACAGAAGCCAGTCTCTATTTCTTTCTTTTATTAGGTACTTGCTTTTTGGGTTATAGTAGTGTGTTATAGTTTCATTGAGGGGTGAAGTCTTTCTGTAAGCTTATAATCATATGCCTTCTTACTGGAAAAAACGCCGTCTTCACAGTTAGTGACGTCAACTTTTG